GAATAAATACATACATACATACATACATACATACATACATACATAAATAAATGGGAGACTATATAACCCCTCATGGCTACGATACTACATCACTGGAAGAAGAATCAAAAAGACAGGAGATCTTCAGAAGAAGAACTCTACTTTTACCATTTTGGAGTGCTGGCAGTGGGGGTTTAATCACACTAATTATTGTACCCTAATGACATCTGTGAAAATACTAGGATTTTTAAAAAGTCTTAAAAAGAAAATATGCCAGTTCTAGCAAAATAACTCCAGTTTTGCCACAAATTTATAAGCCAGAGCAGGGACATTTAGAGTGGGGAAGACCTATAAGCTGGGTTGACTGGATAAGGACTTATCCTCATGTCTCTTGACGCGCAGCACAGAAATGGCACACTAACCTTTGTCTCATCCCCAGGGCCCTACCTGGTAGGGAATTTACATGCCCAAGCAAGTGTTTGGACAGGTCACTACTGGGGAAAAAAGAGAGAGAGAAAAAGTAACTAATGAAATGGTGCTCAAGGAAAAATCTATGGGCAGGATCATTCTGATGGATAGCATTTTAAAATAAATCAAATAGGAGGGAGAAGTCTTAAAATATGCATTTTAAATTCAGCCAGCCCATTAGCCTGTTTTATGCCATAGGTAGCCTGCTGCCCTCTATTTAATTTTTTCCCTTCATGCATAAATCAGGGGTAGAAAACAAAAACAGCCAGTAGAACTTATGTTAATACAGTAGTTTAGAATGAGAAAAATTGCATACGAAGAGCCATGGAGTTTGATTAATTGTGGCACTGTGTATCCTTGTATGGTCAAGTCTGTCCCAGTGGAATGTTAATGGAGCTATAAAAGTAAAGAACTTGGGTTCCCTGTGACTTCATGGATGTGCCCATATAACTTTCTTCACAACCATACAGGAGTGGTTTCTTTATACCTTTCCTCTGAGACACTGCATAAAACTCCAGTTCCTGAATTCTCTGATGGAGAAGAAAGTCTTTATTTTCAAAATAGCATTGCTGCATTATGCCTAAACTGAAATCCACGTGGAAGCACGGTGAAGCTTATTATTCAGTTCGGTTTATGGCAAGGGAGTTCCAGTGCCATCCAGAACAGGAAATATATTCCGTGTCTCTAAAGATCCTATGATGGAAAGGGCCATATCGATATTAATGAGCGCAAGACAAAGATGAAATGTCAAAACAGTTTGAAATCCTCCAGAGTTTTCATGAGTTCTTGATCTAAACTCCAAAGCCAAATGATACATGATAATTAGAAAGTGTTTCAATAATATGATAACTGTTAAGTGCTGTTCTGCTCGACAGCAGAAATTTCAGCATCCCAACTATTAGCAGTTGCTTATTCAGCTCCCTCAAAAGACTTAAGCCCCTTTTAATTGCCATCATTCAGCGGTCATATTTATCTTCTCTTGGATTTAAAGGTAACTGACAGAAACCACACTCAATAGAAAGTTATAAATAGACATCCTGAATGAATTGCGTTTTAAGAAGCTGTGTGGGAAAGGATATTATGTGTTCCAGAAGGGAGCACAACACAGCTCGTCTATAAAACAGTTACATAATGCATGGAAGTCAAAAGGGGTAATGCTTACCTTATCACTTAGGGTTGGATCATTCAATGAGTATAGCTTGTTTGTAATATCCTTTCCAATAAGATACTTGAATATTTCAAAAAGAAATGGCTCAGATTCTAGAAAATAGACAAGTCTCTCTCTGGACCAGCATAAGAACTTGCAATTATCATCAGCAGTAATTGAAACCTATAAAGAAAGTGTAGTCGAATAATTAATACAGTATTTTGATGGTCCCAGTGACTATAGCATATTTAATTCAGATTTCAGCAAATGATTAAAAACATGCTTTATTCTATGAGCTTTCTCAGTTTCAGCAACAATGAAAACGGTATTCTGACTATACTGTAGAACCTTGCTTTCTATTCCATTTCATCTGGGTTTTAAAAATCCTGTAAACAAAGATCCTGCAAAGGAGGAATTAAAGGAAGAAACATCAGAGTCAGTATCAAGAATTCAAACAGCCACAGCTTAATAACAGAACATAGTATAGCACAGCTGGCCCGACACTTCAGTGCTGCAAATCGTATTTGCAGGCAGAGTTTAACTGGTGGTAATCACACTCAAAGAAAATGGAAAAGTTGAATCAAAAGCAGAATAATAAGCATAGAGTGGGAAATTATTCTAAGTATGTTATAAGGCAAGGATGCTAAACAATTCCCTCTATTGGCCATGTTGTTGAAGGACAACAGGAGCTTAAGCCTCACAACAGCTGGAGAATAGTCCATCTCTATTACAAGGCCTTCACATGCATCTCTGCATCATAATTGGGAGCACCATAAGTTTTAAACAAAAAGATTTGGGGACAGCAAATACACATTACAGAAACATCCCTTATCATTTCATGGTCCTGAAATAGGGCTACCATATCTGGACTGCCAAAATCCAGATGACTACCAGTTGTCAGCAGTGTTGTGATTTGTGTGTCTCTTTGCTGCCCTCTAGTGGCTGTCTTGATTTGCACAGCCCAACTTTGGTAGCCCCATTCTGAAATGACCATATGCTCAGATAATAGGCAACTCTGATCTTTTCTTCAAGAGGAATGTTGCTCTTCTGAGCATGCCTCCATCTCATCCAGCATTTATAAACTCTAATGATTAACTAGAAGTAACAACGTAATGGGATCAACAAACTACCTTCAGGTGCATGCTTCAAGGATTACAGCCTTGAAATAAAGTTCAGTCTAAGAGCTGTTTACACATGCTAGCTGGCTACTACTGTTTGTGTTCAGGGCATCTCTATAAATCTGAATCCAGCAGATGGCACCAGTGTACTAACAAGAACTAAAGGGAGCCAAATGGTCTCATGCAGTCATCCATAAACAAAACAAATTATAAGTGTCCCCTTTCCAAAGAACAAAATGAAGGCAAGAGATTAATATCTAAGCATGTGGGGAGGTCCATCAACTATCTGTAAATGTTGTATACATATAATAAAAAATATATTTTTAGAAACATTTTAGAAATGTGAATTAAAAAATAACATTTTCCATTCATTTTTTAAAAAATGCAAATGGTTTCAGTAAATATTAAATAACCAGAATGCTAGAAATGTGTGGCCAAAAACGTACATGTTTAACTCACAACAATGTGTGAATTTCAGTCCCCTTGGCAAATAAATTCAGTACTCCCATTCTTGCCTTGTTCTTGTTTTGATTAAATTTAAACTAAGCTGCGGAACAGGAAGGCTGAGAGTTATTCCTTCAGCAGTTGGTAGAGATGGTGTTTTCTCCAGGTCTGAATAAATCAGTGCCCGAACCCAAAGAGAATGTGTTAAGAATAGCACAAGTCTCTACTACTTGCCTTCCAGCATGGAGATTACCATATCTTGACAGCTACTTTTCTGTGGCATTAAGCCCAGTTCTTGAGAGGAACATATTATGCCAAGTCAGTGATTTTAGATTCCGTACCAGGCTCTGTTTCGCTTTTACTATCAAGGAATTAACAACTGCATAGTCATTCATGGTCACAAGTAGGAACAAGGGCTTCCAGACACAGGTCTCCCTTTACTATAGAAATAAACTGTGCAAGGATTTCATCTTTTTCTCCCTCATACATTTTGAAAGAAACATGAAAGCAGCTGTGGGCAATGGCACAAGAAAAATTTGGTTAATTGGCCCAAACTGATATCTGAAACGCAACTCACTTGCTGGCATCACTTTGGGAATCTGGGATCTCTCACCATTTTTCTGGCTCACCACCTCTTTATTTCCAAAGATCCCTTGTTGGGGTACTTGCTGGAGGAGAAGACCTTATTTTTCCAAGTCTCTTTAAGTCATACTAGAGACAAGCAATCATTTTCAACCATTTTCAGTTCTTTTTAAAAAGGACCTTAGAAATTTGATGGCTAATTACAGATATAAAGACCTGGAAGTCATCATTTCCCTTGGAACATACACATATCCATATTTCCTTTAAAGCTGTTATCAATTGCCAAAAAGATCTGGCAGATTTTTTGAAAGGACTCTAAAACTGCCATCTGTCACCATCTTAGATTCTTGTATTTTCTGAACTCTTTCCCACAGATCTTTCCATTCCTTAGTCTGTCTGCAGTATAGGAAGGCTCTGTTATAACTGATTTATTCCTCTCATGATGGTTTTTAACCCGTAGTGGAAAAAAAGGCTTCTTTCTTCTAGATTCCATTGCACTGAACAAAAACAACTTTGAACAAAGGGTCTATCAGCCTTTTCTGTACTGTACTCCACACTGCCCTGTTTTCAATTTGTTACAGGATAACTTGAACTGCTAATGAATCTTCTACCAACAGTAAGCACGACTCTAACTGATCAGGTGAAAGTGACAGATTATCTTCAAAATATAATTCCAATAGTAAAATAGCATTAAATTCAAGCATAATTTTGTTTTCTCAATAGACTAAAGTATTTTAAACTTTGGGAGGTAGGCGTAGTAACAACAAAGTGATTACTAATCTTCAACCATTTATCTGATGGTTGAAAAAATTATCACTTTAAATCTCCCCAACAACACAACCTTGATATTTTGTATCTAGAATGATTTTATGTTCCAACAATAACATTTTTAAAAGCTATATAATGCATTAAATAAGACTGTCAGTTCATTGCTCTTCAATTTTTTGTAACAACTCATGCTTTATTGAGGAATCTTCTTTATAATTATACTCATTCCTAAGGAAACTGTTTATTCCATACCTGGAATTTCTCACCCCGATTCATCTGAGTTGATCGATATTCAGGAGAATCTATAAAGGCACATGGGTAAATATTATGCAGAAAATGTCCTCGATAGGAGACCTTCATTCTGATGATGAAAATAAGTATTACAACAATTGATAATATAGGCAGTACAACAGTTCTAATTTCTAATAGAGTACCATTATTTACAAACAGGTCAATTCACAGAATTTCTGTGATCTTGGACAAAACAATTGACTTTTGCCAATTCAAATTCTGGAACCCCTGTAGTGAAGCTGTCATCCAAGAGGCATGATGCAAATGCAGTCTGCTGCTGAATCATATCTTAGACTTAGATATTCCCCCCCCCCCGCCCCCTTCTCCCTTACTTGCATTAATTCCCTCCTGGTGCATGGTACATTTATATATATATTGACTGCAACTCTCATTCGTCACTAACCATTACTAACCAATATTAAGCTAAGCATGGTTAAAATATAATTTGCAACTCCCTGTTAAAATTAATTATACATTAGCGTTAACATCAATGCAGACGTAATGCAGCATTATGATTAGCTGCATAGGGAGAAAGAGCAAGTGAGAGAGAAAGTAATAAATTTGTAGATCAAGAGTAGAAGAAAGAACAAGGAATCAGTACTGTCCTGCTTTCTTAACTCCAGTTAGGACTTTAAGATCCTTGCCAAGCTGCTGTTCAATTTTTAATTTGAGGTAGGGCTTATTCCTTATTCCTGCCAGAGGAAAAGACCTTGGGGTTGGGGTTGGGAGAAGTAGCGATGTTCACAAGATTAATTTCCCAGTCTTGATGTTACCAACATTGATGGGATTTATTGAAGCTGTTCTGTTACCTAATTACTAAGGCAATTTCCCTACATGAAGGAAGTAAATAAATAAGCTACCAAGAATTTAGGAAAGCATGAGACAACACTGGCTCACTGTAACCTGAGGAAATGAGACATGAACCAAGTAACTTGAGCATTGTTACATTAAACAAACATTTTTGAGGTTTAAAGAAATAAACTTCTTGAACACACAATTCCCAAAAGTTTGGACATTTATCTGAGCATATATCTACACCTACTTCTTCCTAGAACCAAATTGTTTGAAATAAGTAATAAATGTATAACTGAAAGATAAAACTAAAACTTCAAATAGAAGTCACAGTAGGTAGCAGCTGACCAGGGCTGATCTTCCAAAACACTGAGGGGTCAGATCTGTTAGTATTGCAAATCACGAGGAAATCCCAAGGCTATAGGCCAGACTGGGAA